AATTACTGGTGGTAGCAACTTTCCTTTGTTATAATTTCGATACCGAACTCCTGAGAAAGAATAAGGCCAGGAAAGCAACGTGGACATATCCACAACCATACAACAATTGACAAAAACTCTGACGACCCCATCTGGTATTAAAGTGTGAAAGTATTATATATTTATTTGAATTTTATTGAAAATAATAAGAGTTTCTTGTCAGTTCTTCTTGGCTCGAAAGCACTCCAGATGACGGTGGATTTGACATTATCGTAAGTGTGTAATAAACCTTCATCAATAAATATATTTTGATTTTGATTTACATAACTAATTTTAATTTCACATAGGATGTGTATTATGACTTATTAACTAATTAACTAGAATTTACATCGTGATTACATATATTATTAATTACAGTATTTATACTACGAAATGACATCTAGAATACACAATAATTATATACTAGTTTACTGCACTACAAGTAACAGTGTGTTGGCGTTAAATGCATATTTAATCATAACACTTTTAATTATAATCGTGCACAGCCTACAATAATTCTCTACACCCATGATTGACTGGTTAATGTCACAAGGCGTTAACTCTGCCATATGTACTCTCACCTTTGTATTATGTGCATTAAATTTATACATAACTAGCTGCACCCGCGACTTCATCCGCGTGGAATTTAACATTATTTCTTTAAAATAAAAGAATTTTTCTAAAATAAAAGTAGCCTAAGTTACTCCTTATTACATCAGCTACCTGCCAATAAAAGTCCCATCAAAATCGGTCCTGCCATTTCAGAGATTAGCATTACATACATAATATACTTCGAAGACACCCAGACCGATACAATCAATCATATTCATAAATACAAGTATTTGCACTGTGCGAGGAATCAAACCCGCGACCATTGGAAGTAAAACGGTGTGCTAAACCACTAGACCAACGAGGCCGTCTATTACTACTATAATTATATATAAACATATAATTTATTGTAATGTAGTAGTCTTTCCAATACTAGGAAACTACATTAGCGAGCACGGAATAATATATTTTCCTGCGGTAAAATAGCGTATATTTTAAGTTAGATCTACCTATAAGTATATATAAGGAAGAATAGTAAATAAAATAAAGTAAATAAGAGATAACTAGTAGAGAGAGAAGTGGTTACTTGCCTGTTAATGTACATTCGATATTATACAATTTAAATATTTAAAATGGACGTTGTACATACATGTATCTATATATATAGTGTACATAAATACTTGAAGTATCTTCCACGAGTTCACTTCCGTTCGTATAACTTACCTATAATATTTGCCAGATAATTGAGCAATAAGTATGTATACAACATAATATACTATAAGTAGCAAAGTGCCTTGATATTTGATATGGCAGTTTTGTCAAGGTTGCTTTTATGGATCAGTTCGATTATGGTCGAGTAAAACTTTGTTATGGCGTATTTGTGTTAGTATGGTGACGTAATATTATTGTTTACATGAATGGAGCTTATGATCGAATAAGGAAGATTCTTATATAACAACCTGTACAGATGTAAGGATGTAGGATCCTTATAACATAATATGAGGAGACGTGATCTTCATCAGTGAACGTAATGATTGGTAGAAGCGGGCTCGGTGGTCTATCAGTTTATCACATGGTCGTAGGTTCGATTGCTCGCAAGATTATAGATTTATAGTTATAAGTACGATTGTTTGTATTGGTCGTTGTTTTCTATGTATGAACTTCTAAAAACATATTGAAGTATTTAGTAACCATAGTACAGGCTCTGCTTAGTATGAGTAGTAAAAACCATGCGACGCCCTGTAAAGAAAGAAAAAGATTATTTATGACTGGAGTTTATTGTTGTAAACTGGGTCATTAATTTTTTTTTGGCTAATACAATAACTATACTGGTCGTGTTAGCTCTATGTATTGGTATTCTTTAAGATAAAGGCTTCTTCTTAAGCGTGTATTATGTTGCTATTTTCTCAGTTTGAACTTTAAGAAAACCCTGGAGATTTATCTCGGTGTAAGGCAAAGATTTATGTGTTCCATACACTTACGTTGTAACATTTCACCCGATAAGGTTCTAGTGCAGATAACATACGAGTTGCAGGTTTTGGCAACTGGTTTTGGCGATAGTCCAAACCCATTTGGATCTGCATTGTAATTACATCGGTAATCTTACCCTTGTTTACACAGCATATTTTCTAGATTCTTATCTAACTTAAACTGCGATTTTGTATTTTTTTTCTTTGTAAATCGATTGGAATAAAACAAATTTTACCAACACATAGCACATATTCTAGACTCTAGACTAACTGAAATCGCGATTTCTTATATTTTTTTTCTTTGTAAATTGATTAGAATAATACCAATACTAAATTTTAAGTAGAGCTTATCACAATACATACATGAGTGAAAACAGCATCGAAATCGGTTTGGCCGTTTCGGAGATTAGCACGTACGCACATAGTTTTAGGTTCTACTACTTTGATAAAGTTCCTCAATATTAGTTTCTCTCACATATCGTCCATGTATAGACAACGACTAGATTTATATACATATAAGGGCACCATTGATTTAGTAATTGTTCAAGAGTCCAAGGTTTTATATCTTGCATTAGTATGCAGCCGTTGTCATCTAGACGGACACTAACCATTCTTTATATTGTTACCAACTTCCTATATTAACAGGATGCTGTAATGACTGTGGATTTGTGAACCAGGAAGGTAATAAGTATCAATTTCTCTCTCGTGCATTATATGCTCTATCTGATTGTAATAAGTTGAGTTTAGGTCATGTCCGGCATAACACGCACTTATCACTTGTTATAGGTAACAACCCAAATGAGAATCAAAGTCGTAGAGTAAGTAGAGACCATATTATATTAATATATTACATAACATATATATGAGAAAACTTTTTCTTTGTAAACTCATTGGAATAAATTAAAAAAAAAATCTTACCAGAACACATTAGTCAACACCGTATTCAAATTCGTAAGACCATTTCTGGGATTAGCGTGCACAAACACTTAAAAGTTCTAACAATCAAATCTCAAAACAACATGAGTTCTATTACGTTGAAAAAGTCCACGAATTATAGTTTTTCTTATTTTATTGCCTCAAATCTTAAAGTTTTAAGTGATGCTTTAATAAAAGTTTGTAAGTGTTGTAAATTTTAGAAATGAATTTTCATTTTGTTCATCAGTTTTTATGCCACATATAAAGGTATCGATAAATTATTTAGATAAGTCAATGAACTTCAATTAATGGTTATTATTTATATAATAGAATGGATCAGTGAAACAACAAGCTACAATTTGTATTTTTATATATTTCAGTATTGTTGTAATCTACCCCGAATATCTATGTTTAGAATAATCAACCGCAATGCCCCGATTTTGTAAACTATTGTTTATATATATTATTATAAGTACGGAAGTAAGAAATTAATTCCAAGGAAAAATTGTCTTGTAAACAATTTTTTTTACAAATTAAATCGTTAAAATACTTTGTTAATTGCTAAACATTTATAGGGTGTCATATAAAGACATGTTCCATTTTCTTATGATGTTAGTAATTATAAACGCGAAAGTTTGTGAGTGTGGATGTATGTTTGTTACTCTTTCACTCAACTACTGAACGGATTTTGACGAAACTTTACAGTAATGTTGCTTATATATCATAATAATATATAATTTAAAAGATATTATGTAAATTTGGTGAAATATAATGATAAATGTCAAGTTTGTTGTAGACGAAGTTGCGCGGATCAACTAGTTCAAAATAATTTAACTAATAAATTTATATTACATAATTTTCTTTACCAGATAATACATCTACACTAGTGTTTAGTTTTTTTTATGTAATTCAACCGAAACACAGTTTACAATGCAAGCTCCTTAGCGTTTGCAATTAAGCTCAATTTATGTGACGTGTACTACTTGTGAGTGCACTAAATGTCTGTCTGTAACATTCTGAATTCGTGCGCTAGTCACGGAACTGTGTTTCAGATTCATTCGAATTTAAGATTGTATTTTTATCTGTCTATTTCTGGAACGGAACAAATAGAGGACGTCTGTTTAGTTTTTTTTTATTTGATACGGCTCATAATTATGCGATGTCGCGCGCTATCCGACGGGCTGTCGTAAACATATTCTACATTGGTCTATACTGTATGTATTGGGATTCATCTTTAACTAATTCAATATAAGAATTACAATACAATTTGAAGAAAATAATATATATTATAGAAGTAACTGTTTGGTACATTACATTGGTTCTGTACATGCCAATTCAATCTTTTGTCTATATAGTGAATTTTATATGAAGTGAAGCGATGAATGGTTTATTGAGAAAGCTTAAAGATACGGCTATCTGATAAGAAGCTCATGTTATAGAGTTTAAAGCAATAAATTGATTAGCTTATCCTGCAGTAAATGTTAGTAACAAATACAATACATGTTTTGTTTGGATCCAGGAAAACGGGTTATTCTACTGTTGTAGATTGAATTATACAAGGGACGATATTTATCAGCAACCGCTTTGTCTCCTTTATTAATATTCTTTAACAGTTTTATAACTAAACATATTATGCATAAGTAAACATCTACCTTATTGATATTTTAAACCCATAATAGCTACTGCATCTTTCTTTAATTTGCTGGCACCGACTTTGTTCTTATCATTCGTTTATACACCACATTAGCTGTTACCGGCGACTATGTCTGTTCTTTTAGATAAAGCCTAGGCTATTTCCGTTGTCGTAATACAATCATCTTAACATTAAATTTTGTTCTTTAAATCTTTGCATCTCTTACTCCCATGGTTAACTGGCAGAGAACGTTAAAGACATTAAGCTCGCCTAATATACAAAAATTCAATAAAGTCTAAATAAATCAATCCTTACAGCACTTTAGTAATTTAATAAACCTACAAACAGGCTCACTTAAATTAGCATTATTCATTATATTAGTATGGATTTAAATCAGATTGTTTTCTTTGTTACAGACAAGTGCTGTCGCATATAAAGAATATACCGGAACTAATATTATTAGGAAGTGAATCTGCAACTGGGCGAAGACTACCAATTTTTTCATTAATGGTGAAACACCCACGAGGTACATTCCTTCACCACAATTTTGTCTGTGCTGTATTAAACGACGTCTTTGGAATCCAAGCAAGAGGGGGTCTGAACAGTAATCTCAATTACGGATCAGATATTCTTGGAATAGATGATCAGTTACTTAAGGAATATGAAAAATTACTAAATGTTGAAGCGTAAGTATTAACAAACGTACATATATAAATAACTATTCCTAATTCTGGTAGTTAGAATGCACTTAGAAAGCTACGTGTGCCAAAATAATTGGTCTTTTGCTATCTATAATCATACTTGCCAAATAAAATTACGCAATTGACAAAACAACTTATCTATAGATAATTCTTTAAATAAACTATCTATAGTAATAAGTCGTCGTATTGCAATTATCAGCTTTTCTAGTTTCATAAATTTATCTAATAATTTAATCATTACATCATTAACTTGTATGTTTTAATAGGTATTTATTTATATAATAATAGGTATTTATTTCTTTTTTACGGCCATAGCTATATTGAAATCATACGAATATGTTAATAGTTAATGAAAAGATCTTTACTTTCCAGACAAAAAGAAATTGCTCGAGCTCGAAAACTTAGCGATGTAAAGGCTCCAGAAGTACCAATTTACAATGAACATTTAAGACCAGGGTTTTGCAGAGTTTCTCTTCCTTTTTTTATGTCAGAAAATGAGATAGCCTTCGTTTTAGAAGCGTTGAAAATGGTTGCTACTGAAGGATGGAAAATAATGCCTCAATATGTAGTGAACCCACAAACTGGACAATGGAGACATCATACATGTTCCGTTTTAAGAGATAGAAAATCATTACATTCCCTTAAATTCAGTGATGGGAAAATTGTTGCACACGAAAGAAGAGTTTCTGGTAAGCATAGAACAACAGTCACCTGATAATGTAAAATAAAAAAAATGTAATATGATCATTCATGTATGAAAATTTTTATTCTACAGGCCCAGGAATATTTCCTCAAACCTATACAGAATGTTTACAAACTGCGAGAAATCTGTTTAATAGGGCACGAAAACTTGCCATGAAGTGTTCAACAGCTGAACCCGAAATGTCATTTAATCCTCGAATAGATTATTTGAGATGGTTTATGTTACCTAAGGAGGCTCATGAGCTTCTATTGGGTCGATCAGCGAATGTTAAACATATTGTGCCATTTGATCCCTCTGGTTATACAGGAGCAAGAAAAAGCTTGCACATTTCAAGATCTTTAATCACTTCGTCACCTGTATTGGGATCCTCACCTCGTCATTTTAGTCTCTCAGCCATTGACGATTGCCAAATATTTAGACTGAAGCAAACACAAAAGTTTTACTCTAGGGAGTCTAGTCTTAAAGAAACGTCCAATGAAAATATAAAACCAAGTCACCCAGTGCAATTCGCAGTTGGCGAAACAGTATCACCCTTACGTTTATGTCCTCAAACAACGAAACAATCATTACTCACGAGATCTAGATGTTATAGTTTAGGTTCAGATAGTCCGCCAGTTCCATTGAGTCCACAAACAAAATTAAATCTTGGTCTCAAAGAAGCTAGTCCTAATAATATAGCAGAGTTACAAAAAACTGGCAGCTATTGTAATTGTGGTAGCCAAACTGATCTTCAATCGTTGGATGACCCTATGATCTCACCCGGAAAAGCATTCCCGTACAGCACTCAAAACAGTACTTCTATATCCGATTGTAGCCAAATTGGGCGCACGTCTCCTGCCACGTCATTAACGTCTCACACGTCGGAAGATATTCATGCTTACGTCAAAGAGATGACAAAAGAAATAGCAACAGAGATAAAGTCGGAAATACGTGAAGTAATTTCTAAAGTCGACGACATATTGGAGAATTCCGACGCGGTCGATCAGTCAAATCTTAGTCTGAACTCAGTATCTAGTCAGAATGAAAGGAATTCAGTATCAGTAATAGATGTAGCAGAATACTTAATGGGAATGTCTAGAGAAATGGCATCTGAAGTAAAACATGAAATTCGAGAAATGGTTAGTCAAGTTGATGAAATGATCTCTCCCGATTACGTAGGATATTGTTCAAGGAAATCTTCGCCACCTAGACCTGGTCGCCAACGTATCGGTTCAGGTCCTGATTTAGGACTGGATTTAAAACGAGAGACACAAACACAATCCTTAAAGAAATGTCCGACAAGCCCTGTTCTACCATCTCAATATATTGATGATGAAGAAACACGATTCAATAAGAGATCACCCTTAACACTGTCTCCAAAATCTGCTCAACGTACACCTTCTCACGAAGCGTCTGGCCCAAATAGCATATCATTTAATTCCAGTGAAACTTCTACACCAGATACAATAATTCAAGTTGTGACAACAAATCAAAATTCCCCTAATCTTCCGAAATCATTGAGTTCTAACAAGTTATCAGACGAGGAGAATAGCTGCAGTGACGTATCATGTAGATATTGTTGCATTAAGAAATCTTGGTGTCAAAATCCTTCAGTAAGCTCTCAAGATAGCGGTATCAACATGACATTTACTGAAACCGACTCTTATGTGGAATTTGGTAAGTATTTTTTTCAGTAAACAGTTTTCCTGGCAAGTTTGACAGTAGATAAATACATACTGAGATGACGAAGGGAAGTTTGTACTATTTTAAACAAAAAATTACCGTAGTATTTAACTATATTGAACCGAATTGAAAGATTCCAGACCTTCATAATTTCAACTTTTGTATCTACAGATGTGTTGTTTAGTAGATGTAAAAAATATAATCACTAATAGTAAATTATATATACTAATAGTAAATTCATTCTACTTTATAAATAAATAATATTAATTTGTTATTTTGAAGGTCTTTTCTGTAATTTCATATAGGTAGTATAATTAACTAGCGGATTAACTATCAGACTGCATAGCATCTTTTTAAGTTTTTTAAAATATACAAGTATATACTTTTACTTATTTAGGAGTTATAGCACCCTGTAGTACATTTAAATAAATCTTAGATCTTAGTTACACAATTTCAGTAAAATGGCGAACTTCTTCAGATCCTACAACCAACAAAGGGAAGAAACTTCAGGGCAGACATCGAATATGTCAAAAACATGAGAAAATGGAGGTGCCGGATATCATTGAAGGGGTCCCGGTTTGTTCCGGGGACCACGTGAGACAGACGAACAGATACAAAGAAAGCAGCGCAGATTCAGGCAGAGTGGCTTTCCAAATACCTGACGATCCGGATAGACAGAATAGGTAAAATATATTGATAATATATTACAAATGCCAAATTTTGTGATTATTGATGGATGGATGTTTGTTACTCTACAAAAACTACTGAACAGTTTTTAAAGAAACTTACAGTAATATAACTTATACATCAGAATAACACATAGGTTATAAATTTCATGTGTCAACCGCGTACCAGTACAGCTAATATAATAAATATTAAAATTATAACACAAATAAATATAGTAATAATGAAAAATGTATATATTTCACATTTACTGAATTTAAAATAACTTAATTCGAGAAGCGATACGAAGAGTGTCATTATCATTATCTATCTATAATTACATCTTGTACAAATTATCGTATAGGCCCATTAATCAAAGTCCCTAAAATGTGTCATATTAGCTGTTCAATATCAAGTTTGTTTAAGTTGATAAATGTGTATACAGTGGAACGGAATACCTCCCTTCTATTAAAACGAATAAAGTTAAGAGGCCTTTCACATTTTTTGGCCTAAAAGCAGTGTCTTTGGGGTTCTGGTTCTAAGAAATTAAGAGTCGGATATACATTTTGATTCCTGAATTATATATAGATATCTAATCTTAAAAACAACATCTTTGAAATGTTAATTTTCTCTTTGTTAGTCTTCCTAATTTCTAAAATAGTTTATTCAAAAACGCTAAATGACAGAAGTTTGGGGTCGTCGTTCATTAATAAACAAACATAAATTGATATGATATCTTTACTAAAACTTGATAATTACTTTATAAATTGAGACAGCATCGTCCTTTTTTTCATTTTCAACTTAAATATCTAAAAAATTGATCATAATTAAACCCGAAATTTCAACAAAACTTTGCCATAATCATTTCTAATTTTCTCATAAATACAACGAAATTTTTGCATAAAAAAAACATAATAATAAAGTTAATATACTTGTAAATTAAAAATATGAAAAAAAAATATAAGTTTCTAAGAAAAAAATAAACAATAATAACAATTTTTGTATAAATTCCGTTGCGCCAAAAGTGTAAAGGATATGCCATTTTTTACAACACCGCTAAGATAAGACATTCGTCAGTGAACATTAGTATAGAGCGACTAAACAATTTTGATAATTTAAGTAATATTTAATTAATTTTGCTAATATATACTTATTTCTACGAATATTAATTTAAAGTTGTTGTTAAATATATAAATAAATAATATTTATTTTAGCATGCCAAGACAAAAGTACAGTTATGCTACAAATAAAACCTACCTACCCTGCTGGACTATGAAAAGCACAAGAGCATGGTATTTCGTCACACTAATGGCAATTAATTGTTAAAATTAAAAAAGAGAACATTTTAGTATTTTTAAAAATAACGCTTATCTGAGAGAAAAATGTAAACCAATTTTACTTTATGTTTATTTTGTAGTTTTTTTCTAAAAAATAGGGTTATTGTTTATAAAAATACCATTATTATTTTTACGTACATTTGTCTTGTGTTATATAGTGTATATCATCTAGTATGCAATGTGGATTGTAAATAAATTACCAAATTATATATAAATTATATTCCTTAATGTTTAGAGATATTTTATCCAATTTTATTTTATTTTACACAATTCAGATATTTCTAAATTGCAGCTATTCTGTTATTATACTCGTTGGACTTTCATTACTGTACAGTTATGTCAAATAATTATGCGTGTTTGGGTGAAAAGTCAACAACATTATAAATGTTTTTATTTAGAGACTTTTTAGTAATATGATATATAGGTTATCGCGCGTTTAAAGATCCGTGTACAGTATTGGGACGTTATATATAAACCTTCCTCTTGAGTCTATCTATTCTGTCTATTAAATAACAACGAATCAAAATCTGCGTAGTTTTTTAAGATCAAAACATACATAGATCTATTACATGTGTAGATGATATTTTAACCGGAAATTGAAGCCGTTAAAATGGTATTGGCAGATCAGTTGGAATCATCGGTATTCTTGGTATATAAGCTGGTTGCCCAGCTAACGTACCGGTTTTTTTTTTGTGGATGATAATGGAATGGTGCACCCGCCTGCGCTAACGGTTTACGCTGGCGGGGCACCAGTGGAGGATGATAAGATGAGTATGAGGTCAGGGATACTAATTCACCAGGAATTAAACACGATATTTAACAAGGTAATTTTGAATGGGGTTATCAATCCACATTACAAACAATCCCCTTCCCCCCTAACGTACCGGTTATAATGGTCTACAATTAAATTGTCTTTCAATTCTTTAGTAAGCAATATATCCAATGGGACGCCATTGCACATGTTCGGCGGGCTTAAATTTCATGACTTTGTTCATGCTTTTGAGAAATTTCTTCCTCAAGTTTGAGCATTTAGTGTGGGAAATCACTATCTGTGCTTCCATAAAAATGAGCTCTCAAATTTGTCAGTAGTTTTAAACTTTCAATTAAAGTCCATAAGGGAGACGATGTTAATGACACAGAGAGTCTTTCAGAAATCTCCAGCAAAAGTATAAAAGTAATCCCGCCAATGAGAGCAGAGGTGTTTCTAAGGTCTTTTAAGGTTCTGTCCAAAATCTCTATAGCTCATGGTGATTTCATTACATATAATCAATGAGACGTCTTGTAATAATTTATAAAAAGGTTTGACATTAACAATTAATTATTTATCAAGAATCAAGAATCGGCCAACCAAGAACGAGAAGCTGCAATATCAGCCAATATCATGCGGCGACGTCAATGATGCAGGAACAGCAATGATAGCAGTTGAAGCTTTTTTTTACAACTTAGAATTTTTCCTGATGGAAAGGGGTAACCGTCGCCTATATACATGAGCAATATGTTCATATCAGCACATTGTTTCCCTCATGCGTTGCCATTCCTGAAAACTCGATTCCCCTAAAATTCACTACCATATATATACACAGGTAGTTATATAGATAGATATACATATACACAGATAGTATACCCTAGAAAAAAGTATTGTAAGGGATTAAAAGCGGAGATGAAAGGTTGTATAAAAGTATCGTCATTGTTTAAGTGAAACAAAGAAACTTTTTTAGGTTATAATCTAAATATATTTCCTTTATTTGGTCAATTTCATTATACCACGCTGACGAAGTCGCGGACACACCTAATATACATATAAGGATGGGACCTTTAAATCAAAACAAAGCCTTGAAAACACAACTATTATATATAAATAAAATAATTATTTGCTAAGTATAATATTTAGAACAAGTGAATATGGCAATAATGTATCCGACTCATATAATAAATTATATTGTATCTATTAATAAATAAACTGAATTAATATGTAAGAAGAATTAATTAGTAAATTTATGTTATAGTAATTTCATCTTCCTGTCCTTATCCCAATTATTTGTTACTCATATTACTTAAGGTTTTGGCTTTTAGTTGTACAATCGGCCAGCATCCTGACATCAACCCTCTAGGAATAATATAATAAAAAAAGATGGTCATTATTAGCACTTTGATAATTAAGATAAATCACGTTATTTAAAAAAATCCAATAAGTAGTTTATGTTACTCAGTTAAGTAGAAACATATCACATTATTAATTAAAATATTACAAGGATCAAAATGGTTCATACTAAATCCACACCGATTGAGCTACACGGTTATTTGCGTCTGTGTGCGTGTATTACTGTGTGTGTGCGTAAATCCATGCGATTAAACCTAAAGTTGAGCGGCATCATTTTGTAATAGGCCTCTTAACATTATCATAAATTATATAGATATATATGAAAATACCAAAATGCCTTTAATGATATGATTATGAAACCAGTCTGAAAGAATTTCCAATTAATAAAAAAAGGACAATTCTGAATTGACTAATGAATCTTCATTTTTTAAGTTTGTAAAGGATATTTCCGAATTTATTAATTTAATTTAATTATAAATCGACTTAAAAAAAAGGATATTTGATTCATTTAGAATCAAATATCCTTTTTTTTAAGTCGATTTACGAAAAATGCTTTACGAATTTATTACGAATTATATTACGAATTTATAATTACGAAAAAAAAGGTGAATATGGTAAACTTGACGATCTATGCCATTTGGACTTGGCAACTGTGCTCAAGTTTTAATGTTTTTTGAGTTAGTAGATGGTTGGCTATTACTCAAATTTCTTGCGAGAACAGTAATTTTTCATTAAAACCATTATTCAACTTGCCAGACAGACATTTTGTTATTTGACTCAAATAAATTTTAAATGGATAATCAAGCAATATTTAAATAATTTTGAGCGATTATTTTTCAATGTCATCTATTTGAATGGGTTAATCTCAAAAAAATGATTACAGTAAATTGTTTTGAGAACTTTATAGTTATCAGAACGTCCTTTGATGTTTGAACCTGAATTTATTGAATAACTAACTGAACTCGTACTTCTTACCCGTGTTTTTGAGAATAACAATAGTTCACAACTTTTTTTGTAAACCGATTTAAATAAAACAAATACGGAATTATATTTATCTATCTTACTATAATATGTTTTTGAAAATCGATTAAGCCGTTTCAGAGTTTAGTTTCCATGTATAGAAAACTATCATTTATAGTTTTAATATATGTATGTATAGATTACGGAATTAAATTTTATTATTTGCCATTTTCAGGGCAGTCACTTCAGTGACAGATTCAAAGCGTTCAAGCAGGTCTTCCAATGCGTCGTCGTCGTGCTCGGATCGTAGCTCCAGGTCCAGCGGCTATGGAACAGACCAGAGACAATCTCATGAGGAGCACTGCTTTGAAAGAAGGTAAATTTATATATTGAACATAATATTAATTTAATACATTTTAAGTGTGTGTTATCTTTTGTTTTTTAAAATCATAACTAGGTTGCTTTTTGCTTTCGAAAAAATCTTGCAAACCATATTCTTATAAATAAATAGAAAATACACGCGGGTACACTGAAGTGTATTTATATGTCTCGAACAGTGCGGTTTCAGAGGAGCTTCCTCCCGCGAACACTTAGATTGTCGAATGAAATTTCTGCCGAGGTTTTCTCACAAGACTACAGCATGGGGATTTTCAAGAAGGGTATATTAAGTTCTTAACGGTTGGCAACGCGCACGTGACACCCCTGGAGTTTCAGGCGTCCATAGACTACGGTGACCATTTACTATCAGATGGGCCGTATGATTGTTATTACTATTTACGGCATAAAGCAAGCTTTAATAAAAAGAAAAGCATCATTAATGTTGAACCAACCTGTGAACATACTAGTAAATTCAATATTGTAAGCAAGCTAAGACGATGAAATGATGATAGTATTAGATTTATTGGTCCATGTCGTAAGATAATCTTATGATAATAATCTTTATTGGAAATCAAAAATAATATTGTATAATAGGACAGAGTAACAATAATTGTCACATTAGCACCATTATTGACATTAACACCATATCCAATATGTCGGACTGTCCGCTTCAGGGGCACTGGATATCGCTGCATTGCTGCGGACCCAGGGCCTCTGGACGTGGATTATATTAATCAAATATATAAAATTGTAAATTACTAACATAGTTAATAAGTTGTTTACTAACATAATATGGATGGATAAATATCCGAAATAAATGAAATAATAATAATAATTAGTAATAATACTTTGTCGTTGATATCGACCCCTACATTCTTAAAACAGGAGCCTTACAATTCCAGTTGTTTATAACAACATAATAACTTGCTACCCCGTACTACACCTGTACGATTCGCTTCGGTGTACATGTATTACACATAAACCTCCTCTTGAATTAGTCTATCCGTTGCTAAAAACTGCGTTAAAATCCGTTCATAGTTGAAAAGATCTAAGCGAACAGACAGCGGAAGCAACTATATTTTATACTATGGAAATATGAAGTTGGGAAATGTAGCATCACCATTTACCATTACAATAAAAAAATACATGTTATCTATATATACTTTTTGTTATTTATGAAGGACCAACTAAATTGCTATTTTTATTCGCAGTGAGTCGGAGTGCCGTCTTCTAAAAGAGGATTTCTGTTGGGAGGAAGACCCTGACGACAGTAGTGCATGCAGCGACTCTTCACTCACTGATTTTACCTTCGATGACGAGGGCAAGTGGCACTGCCCTCCCAAATTGATTTGGAAGACCACTGTAGAGGTACGAATATACATTTCAGATACATTTACATAAGACATACAGATGCTTGCATGTTTTTATTTTACTTTAAATCTAAAATGTTCTAAAACCTACTACTTAATATCTGTTTAGTACCAAGTTAAATTACGAAAACACATCTATAAAAGTAAAATCAATTAATTCGTAAGTAAGCATAATGTATTCAAAAATTCGTACGTAAAATGTAATTAAGCAATTATTAAGAATACTCTTCTCATCTTACACCGTGGCGAGAATACAAAGAACATACGCGTAACGAGTCAAATGTTTTGTTAATCCGAATGATAAATATTTCTGACTAGATGTTTTTATGAATGAATATGATACTAACGATGTAGAGTGGCTGTACACCAGTGGAGTATGATCTTCGGTTCGTGGTAAATTCACTATTATGTAATTTATTACTATGGTTCCTAGAGTAACCGCTCGCTAGTCAAACTGATACAACAAATGCCGTTACAATGCTAGCAATGGGGCCTCTAGGCCCCATTAATTTCACCCGTTATAGTAATGGCTTCTATTTTTATTTATGGATTAACAGTCTAGTAATACGTAACTGATAATTTGTAAAAGGCTAATACAGTATGTAATAGTGAACATGACTGCGAATATCGGAAAGTGATTTGAATATAAAATATTCACTGGAGGTCGATAAGAAGGCGGCGAGTTATCTTGAATATTGAATAGTTACGAATTCTTTCAATAGAAGCGACCATGCGGGCATATCAATTGATCGTTTGCTTAAAATTAATACTAATATTATAACACTGTAGAGTTTGTTTAGTATTTTGAATAATTTCTAAATTCTAAGACAATTCCGGAAATGGGAACTATTGTCCAGTTCCGGAGACAGTAAAAGTTATTAGTGTCAATAAAATTGTATTGTTGTATTTGTGCTATTTAATTTCATATAAATTTCTTTTACCGTAGTTATTCATAGTATTACGTAGTTTTGTGTTACTTTCTATTTACTGTACTTTTTACTATGTACCCTTATCTAGCGTGTATTGTATGCATCCGTATAATTTAGCTTTTAGCATATTATACATACAAATATAGTTGAATTACAATCCAATTTTGTACTAATTAGATTGTAATTGATATATTGGTAACTGTTTTGTGTGCTAATAAATAAAAAAAAATGTTTTATATACTCGTCTACAAATTAATATTGAAATTTGATAGTTTAATTTAAGTATATATTAATTTATGTAACCGAAAATAATTAAATTGAAATCGTTTTTACTTAAATATGTATATTACATGCATATTTCGTACTTCAAACACTGAAGTAGGTACTGTAGTTTGTAAATTATATATATGCATATATTTTTTTTTTTTTTTAACATATTAACTTTGGAACATTGTACATACCTACAATTAACAATAGAAATTACAATGAACACATACGTATTTTTTATATTTTTGTTGTGTTTCGCAGTGCTGTCGAATTAAATTGTTACTTTTAGACAGGCTTGCGTCACTAGAAACGAATATTTTTTGTATGTATCTCTGTAACATTTGTTTTTAGCATACAATTATTTACATGTACGATTTAATGGATTTGTTCCTGTAGCCTATCAGACTTAAAATAAAACAATTTTTGAGTGAAATTGTAAAGTCTTTAATGTTTTATATGCATTGCATATTATTAGTTAGAGTCAGTTTTGTTTTAATTCTACAATTTACACTTTAATGTTCTTAAAAGTGGTGCCGACTTTTATAAAACTTAGCGTTAATTGCTCTGTGTTCTTATATGGCGTTGCCAAAGTCGCGGCTCAATTTTGATTACAAAAATATGAGAATGTTTTTTATGAAAATTGCAGGCAATTCACGAGTTCAACATGATCCGACCGGGAGACAAAGTACTAGTGTGCCTGTCGGGTGGCAGAGATTCTATAGCGTTACTACATACCATGCATCAGTATCAATTTTACGCAAGATCTAAGGGGATTCATTTCAGTATCGGTAAGTATTCAACAATTGAATGTAATAGTTTTATTAAAATTGAATATAAAGTTTCTAAAATCGGTTGATATAAAAGTGCGATATGTGATATAAAACTAGAAAACTGTATAACTCATTGAAACATATTTAAAATAATACCTATGTCGAATGACTATATCTATACATATAAATAAAATTGGAGTGTCTGTTAATATTACATGAATATTACATATTGAAATAACCGTTTTTTACTACATGCATATGAATATAAATACGGTACATATACCAAAAATACACGTTTTACAATTTTTGTCTGTCTGTCTGTCGGTCTGTTTGTTCCGGCTAATCTCTGAAATGGCTGGACCGATTTTAACGGGACGTTTTTTGGCAGGTAGCTGATGTAATAACGGGTAATATAGGCTACTTTTATTTTAGAAAATAAAGTTAAATTGCACGCGGACGAAGTCGCGGGAACAGCTAGTATAATATAAAGTTAACTGCAATATTCGTCATATTTGTGAATGAGTACTTTCTGTAGGATCATTTCGCAGTTCATTAATATACTGGATAAATACTGCTTTGATTAAAATGATATCATCAATACAATGATGATTTTATCACTTGACAATCATCAGGAAAAGCAAATTTGTCAGTTCAGAGACAGCGTCGTCAATTTTACAAAATAATAGTAATAATATTTTATTTCTTATTTCTCAGGGGCGTTATTTGTTCACGAGGATAAATCTGAGGTGGATCCTCTTCATCTGATGGCATACTGTCGAACTCTTGGCGTTAAGTTGATCTATCAAGATAAATTGGAAGACGTCGCGTCGGAAGGTATGTACATCGTTTGTACTTAGTCATATCACAGTCATAGTACATTTGTAGTCATAGAAGCAGAATTTGTTCAATAACCCTATAAAAGAAAATAAGCTTTCATAATATATAAATTGTCCAATCGAACACGTGACAGGTAGTCACGGGTTCGAAAAGCAGTGTACTAAACCACTTGACCACCCAGGCCGTCTGTTATGTATTAGATAGTTGAATTTGTCTAAAAATTCTATTAATGTTACTAGTTTAAGCTCGCGGTTTCATCTACGTACTCATTATCCAAAGTGCGCACTATAGATTGTTTGTGTGTGGTTCACAGTAGTGGGACGCACGTGCGCGGCTCGTGTTCGCCGTTCGGCGCAGAGTTGGGCGAGTCATGGCGTGCGTCGGCGTGCGTACGCGGCCGCACGCGCGCATGGTTATGGCGTGGCGGCGCTCGCGCAGTCGCTCGACTCCGCTGCGCGAGCCTTCCTCGCCGCTCTCTTCCATTCCGGCACGCTCGCCACGCTCAAGGCGCATTACAGAGTCAAGTTAGTATTACCCACACACTATTCTTTTTTACAAATATCAGAAAATATTCTGAGTAAACAAGTCTTGATTGGTTTCTGATATGAGGTCTCAATGCTCCAGATATAAATACCTTCACTTTCTTGTGTTCCTTTGTCACTACTATTACCATTAAAATTGTATGTTTGTATTATCGATAATGGATGTACGTCAACGAATCGGCAATTTTCTAAAGTATAAAATAATAATTAACAAGAACAATGATTTTGCAGGGAGCACGACATCCGCATCATACGGCCGTTCATCTATGTCCGCTCGCGGTCTCTAGCCGCGTTCGCACGTGTTCGCATGCTGCCGGACTTCCGTGGACGCGATGCACACTCTCCACTCGTCAGCCCTGCGCGCAGTGACGACAGTGACGTGTAAGTATTTAACATAACATACAATATAAATAATTTTCACTGAAATAAAAAGCTAAGAAGAATGAGCAAGAAATATGACTCATGCTATCATGCTTTCAAGCAAGTGTATTTGTACGTTTTAGATTTATATTTGCGTTCAATATCCTTGTCTTGCAGGAAAAATAAATTTCAAGAACATGCCAAATATCTCAACGCTAACTTCTTAAATAAACATTGATTGAAGCAACGTCTAGTTTAAGTCACTCACTTTGTTTTATTTCGTTTTTGTTTTTTTATATTCTATCTGAATCACATTCTTTATACAAAATAATAAGTATTCATCTGTATCTGAGAAAAGTTTCATTCAAGGCGAAATTATATGGAATTTTACAGTATCCCTAATATTATTCTGATTAATATTTTCCGAGTTCAGACTAGTTTCTGCTTCGTTTAGAACTATTGTAGATTATAGTAATCTAAGTCCTAATTTTATCTATATTTTTATTTGTCGTTTAATGTTTGCAGTAAAGAACTGGCCCATATTGAACGATCAATCTCAGAACCGTGCGGTTCAACTGAGAAGCAAGTGTTCCCTAACCACGTACGGCGCTCGCTCGACGAACCGCTAGATGAAGCAATGGACCCGCTCGATATGGCACACGATCTGTTAGGCTCACAGGAACGCTTACATCCATATTTGTTCACCAGTTTGAAGAGCGCGCTGCATCCGCTTATAAGTGCAAGGTATGTACCGGTGCTTTTTTACTTGTATAATTGGTGCTACCCAAACTCAAGCTGTGAAATATCTTAACGATTTTTACTTCTTTATACCAACTTAAAATCTATACTAATGAACTTTGGATGTTAGGTAATCAGGTTCAATTTTTTTATCATTTGAAAGAATACTTAATGTAGGTTTGTTGAATGTTTTAATTTTATTTGAAGGTTATTCTATGTAGTAGACAGAAAATAACAATTTTTTCTTTCATCTGCTAGTACAAATTCGTTTGTTGTTCTAATTTTTAGTAGTATTAATGAAATGATGATTATCGAATATGATTAAAATAATATTTTATTCCCAGGAAAGATCTGAAAGAACATAGACATAGAAAGAGATCGGTGATCCAAATGAAGAACGGAGCGCCGGTGTATGACTCCGAAGAGGGCACCGAGGAGGAACCAGTGCCATAGACAAATGTTAAATTTCCCGCCAAAATATGCAATGTCAAACTTGTAGTTGTAGTCGCGTTATTGGACACTTGTGATTAATCGGTGATTGTTTATTAATTATTGTGATGAGGCGTTTATTGAATAGTGTTTAATGAATTAATGTTATAATGTTAGGTCGTGTGTAACGCGAACAGTTTTTGAATTTTATTTTGTTTTGTTGTATTAAGTTTGGTGTTGCCATACGATAAACAAAACCAGTTAGTGGTACTTTTATATTTTTTGACAAATTTGGAATTGAGAACAAAGTGCATTTGTTACAGTCTGCTATTGAATGATAGTATATTGAGCGATAGTGATTATATTTTTTAATGTTAGTTTTTATATGTTGAGATTGTATGAATGAGGAGATGTATATGTATAAGGATTCCTATTTATATACTGTCATGTTGTTCGATTTAAAATAATATATGATAAAATATATGATGTTCAATATGAATAGATTTTATTGTTATATGTAGTTTCAAGATAAATTTATTCCAGTGTCGAATTGTTCACAGCCGGCATTGTATTCAATAGTATTACCTAGTTATTGATACGTAAAGTATGGTAACAATTTCAGTACTAAAGTTAAAGTTGAAAAGATATTGATTATTTTATCTTCTCAGTCCTCATTAGAGGCTTTTGTATAAAAAATTATAAACATTGCAATGGTTTTATTTTATTAATATGAACATTGTAATTCATTGGATGGACATTTAAGAATTATAAAAAGGAAAGGAAAAAGTTACTTTTAAGTAAAGATAAGGACGTTAAGTCGATCGTCAGAAAATAATGGAATAGAATGTATACAATATATGACGAAATAGCAGTCTGAAATCCAGTCATATATATGAAACAGATTCTCATCCGTCATACTTACTCATGATATTGCTTGGGTTTTTATAGGACTCGGGTTATATATTTTATGTGAATAAATGCCGGCCTACTCTGGAAAGCAATTTTAATCCAATGTCGCATCGTTTTAAACACATTATGTAACGTACCATTAGCAAAGTATTATTAGCATATTTGGTGGTCAATGATAGAATTAATCGACATCGTTATCAATTTGTACAGTTTAGTTGTTTTAAGATAACAAAACTAGATTGCATTAAAATTGATATTGAGAATAGACTCCAGACGAGACCTGCTGTTTGTTGTTATCTGTCGATTGTCAATACACTCTACGATTTAAATTAACATTAACACATAATGAAAATGTTCGGTTTAATATGTAGATATGACTTGATTTTGGATTGTTATTTTGTTTTGATTTAATAAAATGTTATATATGCATTACTTACCATAAAGTATTCAGGCCAATAGGCATGTACTGTAATAACAGTAATTAAAACTGTGGTTTGATTAAATACAACGAATTAATTATATCCGAGTTAATTTTAGTAGTTGGCAACATTATTTTTTTATTTTGAAATTGCCATCTGAAATTCAATTGGTAACAACAGTATTTAGAATGGCAATGGTGAAACCGTATTTGTTTATTATTTGACACTAGTGCCTCTTGTTTTCTATTGTACTTTTTATATTCTTTTTTTAATACTTTGACTTTTGTATATGTTCAAAATATCTTGTAACATGTTCGCAAGTCTTGCGTAATATATTTTGTATAATGAATAATATTGAATTAAATTCATCAATTAAGCGCTTCATATACCTACAGTAATATTGTATAATTTTATTAAACGTGGAGGGATAGAATAGAAAAATTAGGCAACGATGAAATAAATGTTAAATATAAGTCCATTGACTTAAATTTTATAACGCAATATTTTTGACTTTATATATTTATTCAACAAAATCACTTCAATGACTGCAGGCAAATTATTAGATATTTCATTCGTATAAAAATATTGAGCGAATATTTATTCAGTTTGCCTGTTTTAAATCGAAACATTGTGCAATATTGTTGTAGTTGTATGTAGAAAAAGAATTCCTATGATGTATAATGTATGTCACACTCGTTTGCCATTGCGAATAAAAGAAATACTGTAAAGCTAAATGCTCCAATTGAAATGAAATATATATAATAAACAGAAAAATATACATTTTACTGACCCCTTTAATATCTACCTAAAACTTTAAGAGTGAAATAACTACGTATATTGTTGACAAACAAATGTCCCATAATTATTGCTTCCATTGTAAAAGAATAATCGTAATCTTATATATTTTGTCGTAAAATAAATAATGTTTTAATAATACATTTTTTTTCATTTCCTCATGGCCCTGATACCTACTTTATAAATACATTTATTTCATGCTTTATTCTACAGTCAATTTAATTTCATGTTATTTCTGTTTATATTAAAAAGAATAAAATAAAGTATTGTAGAATATATTGTAGAAATTTAAAAGTTATTATATAGATATTTAATACTTTTTATTTTTAGTTTATTGTGTAGTATTGGAATGGACAAACAATCTTAGAAGGAATTTTATCTCTGATTCAAACAAAACATATAATCTCCCCGGCGTGTTTTCAGATGAAGTGGTAACCGTCGGGCAAGAGCTGGCCTTCAGCAGCTCCATAAGTCCTTTTGCGGGTTACGAGTGTCATCTGCACTCGACCTCTATGGTTAAGTAATTTTGTAAAGGCCAGCTACTGCCAACAGCAATAGAATAGTTAACAAAAATGTCCTCCTGCTAGTGCATTATCTATCGCCTATGCACAACACCATGGACACACGTCATGTAATACCCATAACCCTTTTATATTAATGGAAACGGTACCTGACCATCATGATAAATTCCTCGTGAATTTGTCATAATGGGCTAACTGACCCGGTCATGATCGTCTTATCATCCCCCGCTCACCAGCGCAAACCATTAGCGAGTGCACCATAAAAAATGTATAGATATCTGAGAGGTTACCTCCACGCGTTTCCCCTAGGAAATCACAGTTGGCGACTGGCTAACTGATCTGACTGATTCATCGTCATCTTATTTTCTTCCATTAGTATTCCGCTACTCTACGCTTGTAAGGTTTCATATCTTCGCATTTATAAATTAATGTGGATTAATCATCATTATATTGCCTTTATCCCATTATTTGTGGTCGGCGCCGTAAGTCCTCTTCTTCCACTGATCCTTATCAACCATCATATCTGAGCGAATTCTCATTTTATACATATCATCTTTCACATAATCCATTCACTTTTTTTAGTTGTCCTCTCCCTTTCCATCCATCCACATTCATATTAAACTCTATATTAAAGACATGGTCCTCGCTCTTCCACATGATATACCTAACCAAGTCAATCTGTGCCCTCTCGAGTTGTCTATATACTTATTCTGTCATTCCTGATTACCTCACACATCTCAACATTCGCATTTCTGCCACATGCACACGTCTTTCGTCCATTCCTTTTACAGCCCAACATTCTGATCCATACAAAACTACAGGTCTTATAATCGATTTATATACTTTACCCTTTAGTTAAATATAGTATGGATTCTCAGAAAAAATACAATTTGATCAGCATTTTATTTAAATATGGTTATACCATTAGATACTACATAGAATATTATGCATATATGCGTACATAGACTTAAAACTAAATGAGTATTACAAGTACTAAGCATTGTCCATGCTTGGAAAGCTTTCCAACACTGAATGTGACAAAATTATTTATTATAATTATTACATTTAGCTCTTAGCGTACATAACTTATCTATAGTTAGTAAATACATATTACTATAATATAATACCTAGGTGAAGGGAATTGTTAGTAATATTAGTCCCATTACTAGTAAAGTATCTAATAGGGTCGTTAATTCGCCGTTTAGTGATTAGCATCCTAATTTAATTCTAAGTGTTTATAACGCCCCGCCAGAGTACACCGTTAGCGTGGGCGTAGTAAATATTACATTATCATCTACTAAAAAGATTATATAATTATAATACGATATATTATTATAGACATAAAATTAACTTATCATTTATATTTCATGACGACACAATATTGTAATTATATTTTTGAGACTACATTATACGTATTACGGGTTATGTCTATTAAATTCTAGTATAAATATAGTGTAGATAGGTTAATAATTAATAAAATTTAAATTAGAGACAATGAAGATGTAATTTTAATCATTGTTTATTTCTTGCCTCCGCCTTGGCAGCAAGGCTTGCCACCTGTAATGAGAAAATAAAAATTACTTATTGACATATATGTGAGCACATTTTATATGTCCTCTTTTGTTGAAATAAGAACTAGTTTCTATTAAAATAAAACTTTTACAGACGCAAATTTTGTACAAAATTGTATGACTATCTCTTACCTATTTTAGTCACCGAGCAGCTTGGTTTGAGTAGTGTATTTTATAAATATATACGTATAGGTATATATGTTTTGTAGATTTATTATCTAGATATTTCTATATAATAAGTCGACGGTTTTTCAGATCGGATGCGTGGCACCAACGTCCTCCAGAATGACAACGCGTAGGTGGTACCACGGGAGGTGCATAATAATTCCCTTCATGTACCTATACAAATGATGGTTAACTCTTACCATCAGGCGAGACGTCATCTTGTTTGCAATGTAAATAAAAAATATACACCGGTAATGAAGTCACCGGTAATAAATGAAATTAATTCATATGAAAGAATGGCAACGCATGGAGTCACATGAAAAATCCTTGTAGATTATTGAATTAGAGAATTGTGCATCCTTTTACTTAAACTTCATTATTTTACTTAAATGCACTACATACAAAATATAATTATTACAGTGCATAATTTACAATGTAACAATACAGTGTTCAATTTATTTATTGTTTTGTAAAGTGTTCAAGTAAATACCGGAGGACTTGCCGTCCCCGCACACGCAGCTAGGGCCGCATGTGCAGTTGGCGCCGCAGGCGGCCGAGCCGCCCTGGCACGTGCCTGGCGAACAAACATACCATAAATAAAATACGCAGGTGATAAAACCAATTACTTTTTACTACTAGGACTGTACAGGTACAGGTAGATAGACTGTAAAAACTCGTCTGCGTCTTCGCTGAACTCGCATCATCATCGAACAGGTACTCGCATCAGTCTCCCCTATTTTAGCCTCAGTAAGTTGTGTTTCGGTTGTAGGATGCACTTTAGGCAGTAAAATAACTGAACAAAAGGAATGATGTCTTAGTCCGGTATGTGTAACGGCAACGCACGAGTGATTAGCGGGTAACACATAATAACGTGATGTTTGTAGTGCTGTTCATGTACGTGCAATGATTACCATTTACGCGTGCGCTTATAAATTAATTTAGACTTATAAACCAGTCTGTTTCCCGTTCCCATTACATAAAAATACTGGAAATTAGACACGGTTTCTTTAAAATATAACTAAGACAGGTGATATTATATTGCCTCATTACTTATAGAAATGTATTTTTCAGTATGTACTAGCTTTCCCCGCGGTTTCACTCGCATGAAATGTATAACCTATGTGTTATTTTAGTATATAAACTAGATTATTATAAAGTTTCATTAAAATCCATCCATCCACAAATATACCCACGAACAATATTAGTAGAATTAGCTTACGTATTGTACACTTATTTAGTGTTATTGACTTTCCGACGTTCTGTTGCAGATATTTGACCATTTTTACAGATTAGACCAATGTAAAAATCTAATAAAACCCTAAAACCACAGAGCAGGTGTACGTGTGATGAATAAAGATATCGGCCGCACCTTCATTATTTTTTCTCCAATAACGCGGCCTTGTACTTGAGTAACCCTATCTTATTTTGTAGTTGAACCACAGTGTAAAAAATTTGATAAGTGCACGACGAACTCGAGTACGATGATTCCGCATAGATATTGTTTTTAGTACTGGCTGATAATGTAGCTTTCTATATGTCCGTGAAATATTTTTTTAGATCGGTAGTGTATTATTTGTTTTTTCCTACTTATAATGTTAGTTCACTGGAAATAATATTATCATGGTAAATATTCCATTAGCAGCTACTCGCCCCGGCTTCGCACAGGTGCACATGTATTATACATACAAACCTTCCTCTTGAACCACTCTATGCTAAAAACTGCAGTAAAATCCGCTGCATAATTTAAAATATGTAAGAGACCAGACAGTGGAAGTGACTTTAATTTTGTACCATGTAAAGACATTATTACTTTAGTTAAAATTTTCAAACTGACTGTTATCAAGTATAAGTTTTTGATAAAACCTTTACAATTATTTTTGAGATTATTTTAATTCAACGTATTGATTATTTTATGATAGGGCAAATTTTTGTTGTTCACATTATAAAACGGTATAATTAATTGACCGCTAGTCAATAGCGCGTCCATTTATATGCAGGTTGGCGATACAAAATGGCGGCGGACAATGCCGGTTGTAATGCCTTAAAAGTCAATAATAGTTTACTATATATAATTAAATTTATGTAACAATTTCATACTATTTCATAGAATCATAAATTCTACGACGATATTACAGCGTATAAAAAGACTAGAACTAAAAAGTTTATCCATTTTGAAGTTGGACAAAAAAACTGTAATTTTTATTTAATTTAAAATTTTTACTGTGACACAAATTCTCTAATAAATACATACAAAAACC